TTACTCTCCATTTGGTACTGCCAAGTGTATTAAGGGCCTGAAATGCAAAAAAAAATGTAGAGCATTAAGCGTAATTCCAATTTCAAGTGTAAACATAACAAATTGGTTAGACCAACTCCCTATAGCTATTTGAAATGAAAAATGTTACATGAATCATCCAAAAGCACACAACATAGAAGAACCAAAGTAATGAAACCCAAGAATCTCAAACCTTAAGAACAGGTTCGAATTGCTTCTTTGGAGTCCTTTTTACTGCATCACATTGTTGTTTTGCTCCATGTGTACACAACCAAATAGACTGTTTGATTACCAAGGCAAAAAATTAGATAGTTCCTTCTCAAAAATTTAAAAAATGAAATAAAGGGCTATTTTGGAAGTTAATAGTTGATTAAGGGTTTTTTTTGGAGGGGGGGGGGGATAAACTAGTGCCAAATGAGAAATCAAAAAAACAATACCCATTTCAAAAGCCTTTTCAAAATCATAAAAAACCAACACTCATTTTCCATTAAGGATTTAAATCCATTTCATAAAATCAAACTGAAAATAAAAATACATTTCTAAAATCAAAACCCATTTCATGAAGATCAAGTATTATTTCACAAGAACAACAAAAGAGTAATTCCAATTTCAAGTGTAAACATAACAAATTGGTTAGACCAACTCCCCAAAGCTATTTGAAATGAAAAATGTTACATGAATCATCCAAAAACACACAACATATAAGAACCAAAGTAATGAAACCCAAAGATCTCAAACCTTAAGAACAGGTTGTAATTGCTTCTTTGGAGTCCTTTTTACTACATGTGTACACAACTAGATTGACTGTTTGATTAGCAATTAGATAGTTCCTTCTCAAAAATTTAAAAAATGAAATAAGGGACTATTTCTTTTGGGTAAACCTAACCTATACACAAAAACAGAATGGCAACCAGATACACTGTTTGATTAGCAATTACATAGTTCCTTCTCAAAAATTTTAAAAATAAAATAAGGGACTATTTCTTTTGGGGTAAACCAGTGCCAAATGTGAATGGAACACAAAAACAAAATGGATTGCAAATAAACCCTAAAATAACCTATTCATAGCCCGACAGAGAGAATTCTGAAGTAGAAAAAAGATTGAGCAGCGAGAGGAAACACGGCCCGGCAGGCAGAAATACAGAGAGAAAGGGGATAGAAATCTTACCTTGCGAGTCGAGACTGGAGAGCAGCGTTAGAAAGAGGGAGGGTAGAAAAAAATAAGAACAGAGAGAGAAAGAGATAAAGAGGGAATAGGAGGAGACGTGTGTAACGCCCTCGAAATAATAACATTAAACCCAACAAATAAGACAAGCGTTGATAGATAAACTAACCACCTTCTATCATTCATTAGAATTCCATTACATAAGTATTACATGTTAATCTCATAACAAAATGCCCTACGGGCTTACAGCTTTCCAAGTTAACACTTGGTTACAACAAAGAGTTCTAACTCGTTTACACATTAAGCCCTTGGCTTAAAATTACATGTAATACATCAACAGTAAAACGACAAAACTATGTCCGCCACTAGCCTCCCAGCTATGTCCTTGGAGGTGGCATGCTTCCTGCACCTGAAAATGATATTCCCATATAGGGTGAGCCACAGCCCAGTAGAAATACACTAAACCAACCATGGACAATGACTAAAACATTAGCAATTGATAGTTGGTCAACACTGATACAATCACATAAATAACATATTTATGTCAACGACTTACAAGTCCCAATTACTTTTCATTTTCCCCTTTTCAACAGATAAGCATGCTAGCTCTATCATCATTTCCACAGACATGTATAAAAACTATATCTCACATTCAGATAAGCACAAAAGCTATATCCACATTCTCAACAGATAAGTATATCAACAATATCCACAGATAAGCATACAAGCTGTATCCACACTCTACAACAGATATGTATATCAACAATATCCACAGATAAGCATACAAGCTGTATCCACACTCTACAACAGATATGTATATCAACAATATCCACAGATAAGCATACAAGCTGTATCCACACTCTACAACAGATATGTATATCAACAATATCCACAGATAAGCATACAAGCTGTATCCACACTCTACAACAGATATGTATATCAACAATATCCACAGATAAGCATACAAGCTGTATCCACACTCTACAACAGATATGTATATCAACAATATCCACAGATAAGCATACAAGCTGTATCCACACTCTACAACAGATATGTATATCAACAATATCCACAGATAAGCATACAAGCTGTATCCACACTCTACAACAGATATGTATATCAACAATATCCACAGATAAGCATACAAGCTGTATCCACACTCTACAACAGATATGTATATCAACAATATCCACAGATAAGCATACAAGCTGTATCCACACTCTACAACAGATATGTATATCAACAATATCCACAGATAAGCATACAAGCTGTATCCACACTCTACAACAGATATGTATATCAACAATATCCACAGATAAGCATACAAGCTGTATCCACACTCTACAACAGATATGTATATCAACAATATCCACAGATAAGCATACAAGCTGTATCCACACTCTACAACAGATATGTATATCAACAATATCCACAGATAAGCATACAAGCTGTATCCACACTCTACAACAGATATGTATATCAACAATATCCACAGATAAGCATACAAGCTGTATCCACACTCTACAACAGATATGTATATCAACAATATCCACAGATAAGCATACAAGCTGTATCCACACTCTACAACAGATATGTATATCAACAATATCCACAGATAAGCATACAAGCTGTATCCACACTCTACAACAGATATGTATATCAACAATATCCACAGATAAGCATACAAGCTGTATCCACACTCTACAACAGATATGTATAACCACAATATCCACAGATAAGCATATAAGCTGTATCCACACTCTACAACAGATATGTATAACCACAATATCCACAGATAAGCATATAAGCTGTATCCACACTCTACAACAGATATGTATAACCACAATATCCACAGATAAGCATATAAGCTATATCCACACTCTACAACAGATATGTATAACCACAATATCCACAGATAAGCATACAAGCTATATCCACACACAGATGCATAAGTTTGGGGAGAATTATTGAAATGCAATGGAAGATTCAAGAAAATGGTGTAGAGTGAAATAAGAGTTTAGGGGAATAGTAAATGATAAACTTTTTCTAAATATATTTTAGTCATTTACTTACTATGTTTTTTTTTTAAAATTTTAAAATTTTTAATTTTTTATGTTTAACTCTATGACCTTTTATACTTACTGGTTTTTACAATTAATTATTCTGAATTGTTAATGACACCAGTCCTTTTCTGATAAGAAATTTCAACTATACCGGACTCTCTGGATGATCAAACAATAGTTTATCAACATAAAATGGAAAAGCAAGGTTAAGATCAGAATGGAAAGATTAGCGTGTCAGGTATCATTTTCATTTTCGAAGTTCAACATTTCAACCATACTCCACAGTCTGGATGATCACACAATAGTACATCAAAATAAAATGGAAAATCAAGGTTCATATCAGGATGAAAAGATCAACTTATTGGGTATCCTTTTCATTTTGGATGTTCTCTTTTTCTGTTTTCGTGTTTTCATATACAAAAAGAACGAAAAGTTTGAAAACACCCATTGCTTTCATGTTTGTGCTAACAGTCTCGACAATTCAGAAAAAACTTCTTAAAACTCTTTCCTAAAAAGGGTGTTTTCAAAGAATTTTCACAAACAGTTTTCAAAAACACAAATGAAAATGATACCAAATGCGGTTCTGGATAAAAATGGTACCTCTCTGTGATTTAAACTTCTAAGACCATCTTCAAGGAAAGGTTATATTCTAATTTTTTTTTTTAAATTTAAAAAATGGTTTTGTTAGCATTGCTACGACACAAGTATCAAAACTCATAACATTTTCATACTGACTTATGGCACGACATCCAAAGAATAAAATCACAAAACAAATTGGTGGGCCCTAAAAAATTAAAGAGAAGATCAACAGCAATAACAAACTGCCTATGTCATGTGAATATGAACCCATCCTCAATATTTACCAGGTAAACATTTTTAACCAAATGATCATATGCATCCATGACTAAAGAAGGTATATCTATTTAACTATCACATCATTAGCCACACCTCACAATCATGTGCGAGATGATGTTGGACACGTTTACAAAACTTGGGACAACGCTACCTTCAAGTGGATTTGCGGTAGGTTGTGGGAATGAAAAGTTGCTAGGGTAGAGTTCTATTAAAAGAAGGCTTCTAGGGTTTTTCTAAGAAATAAGGTGTGTTTCGGGGTTAATTTACAAAGCGAGTAGTTGTGTGATTTTCAGGAATTATGTGCTAGACTAAACATTCAGGTCATCTTCATCTCTGAAGCATTCAGAGACTTCATGATCTTCATCATACAGTATCATAGCCACAAAAATGGACACAAGAAACTCTTCTTTTCTTCAACAGATTTTTGCTACAGCACCCTTGTGAAGGTCAACTTCTTTCAAGGAATCATAAGAGCTGGATAAGGGGATCCTTAGCCCTTAGAATTATTCTAAGGACTAAGGTTGTCCAGATTAGATGGCTATGACCTGGTAAATCTTTATGTCAGGGCACACTTAATTCATACAAAGATAATTTCCAACTTTTTGTGTTTAATTGTATTCACTTTCTCCAGTCTGCCTAACACATTATTAATCAGTTCATTCATGTCGTATTCAAACTATTTTTTTTTTAATTTATCTAGTATGATGTTAATGTAAATCTTTCAGTGCAAACCATAAAATGGTCAAATAATTCATTATATGACCACACATCTGCTTATAATTGGAGGCAACCAACTTAAATTGGAATCCATGGTTGTAGAAAAGGCTTTTTTGTTCAAATCCTTTCATTTTAAGGAATTGGTTGGTCCATAGTAGAAAGATTTGGAAAGAAAAGAAAAGGGCAATCAAAAACAAAAAGCACATTCAATGAACATGTATAGTTACCAATATTTTTCAAGGCCATAAAGATTTCCTTTACTGTAGAAATCAAGGGTCAGCTGCTCAAAGTCCTGGTAGAGGTCCTCTCTGAATTCCTTCTCCAATCCATAACTGAAACAAGAAACGAAGCAAAACTGTAATCATAACTCTTGTATAAATAAAAGGCACAAAAAATATATCATCTTGAATAAGCATAAGCTTCTACTTAGGAGATCACCGACAAGAATAATAAAATTTAAAAAAAAAAAAAAGAAAAGAAAATGTTATAGTTTGAGGCAAAGATGAAAACTTCAAACTCAGCCTCAAGAATAACCAACAAAATTTCAACTGAAAAGAAATGGTATTGGAATGATACCTATAGAACCTGAAAAGGCATTCTACTCCATAATTATAATTAGCAGTTGCATCTTCCATTGCCAATTTCCGGAATTCATTGTACATAGAGGGGACAAAGATGTTTCTAAGGAAATATGACCAAAACCTGTACAATGTGTTCATTTCCTGCATGGTAGAAGATAAAAATTCTTATTCAGAAAATACTACGCACTCCATAATATTTTAAACCTAGAGTGAAATAAAGTTCAAACAAGGTTGTGAACATGCAAGCGTGCATATGAGAGAGAGAGAGAGAGAGAGAGAGAGAGAGAGAGCATGCACATATATAAGGCTGCACTTATTGTCAGACTATCAAATACCCCTAAAGCTTAAGCTGTTAGGGAATATAAGCATGCACAAATAAAAGGCTTCAATGTATATGTATATCAAGCTCACACCATCCGTCATCAACTGTGAGTGTAACCCCCTCTCATGCGTGGAGGGACGACCAGCTAATGCACAAACTAAACTCAATAGTGTGCATGAACACAAAGCAATAAAGTGACAAGACTTGAACCTAGGTCCTGTTGATCCAAAGTTTTCATACCATGTTAGATCACTTACTGCCCCAAAAGCTTTAATTTTCAAGGGGCTGGGCCCAACAATGTACTTCAAACTCTCACCATAATTATAACTACAATAAAAACACATTTTAGCAACTTTTATAAAACAAGTAAAACAACTTCTTTTCTTCAAGGTAACCTTTCCATAGCCTTCACTTAATATACATACCCTCAACTTATCAAATGATCTTTCTTTCCCTCATCAAAACTCTGCCACAAAAAGTCCATCTCCGCAATTTTTTTGGCCACCGCCACTAAAATTTTAAACAAAGATAAGAAATAAATAGATACATTGGATAAAACGGATTGAACCATAGTATACCTACCCTTCAGAAATCAAAGCCCTATTCCACCCTTCCAACCTTTTCCCTATCTTCTCAACTATTGGATCCTAGAAACTAACAATCCTCGGTTGCCCCTCAAGGCAAGACTTAGATAATTCAGTGGTAAAGATTCAATAGAGCATTATAAGATCCCAACAAACCAACACAATTTTCTTGTGACAAATTGATATCCACCACAGCACTCTTACCCAAATGCTGCACAGAAATTATTTCAAAAATTCTCAAAAACAATACATAAATTGACAATTTTCTCCTCATCACTAGAAGAGAATGGATAGCTACCATTTGCAAAATGTAAATGAGATACAGATATACTACCCCTCCCAATTACACAATTGTCAACCATATCAATTTCCTTGCCCTATCCACTAGTTTACCCAAACATCAGCTACCAAGTGAACAAAAAAAAGGGAGAATGGGTTGCCATGCCTTGAGCCCTTGAAGCCTTCAAACACTCACCTGGCTTACCATTAACAATAACAAAGAAATTACATGAAGAAAAACAACCCCAAATCCACTTCCTCCACCTATCTCCTTGCTCCTTTTCAGCATAACAAAATCTATAATTCCCTGTCCACATGATCGTATGTTTTCTTTAAGTCA